TCTTTTCAGCATTTTTTTTTTCCACTGAGCCATCTGGCTTGAGTGTGACGGGTGCATGTAGGGGGCCTGGCGCGGGGGGCTCGTGGCTCGTTGCTGGTTAGGAAGGCCAGTCGGGTGTTCTAGTGCCTTGGGGATGTGACTGCGGTTGCAGCCCCCAGGTCTCGTAGGCACCTTCCCTGCACTAGCAACTTGGGCATTAAGTGAGGATTAAGTAGCTCACAGCTGTCAAGTAATTGTATTGATTTTGGTACAAAAGTGTGCATCTTTGTAAATTTTATCAGTTCAATGTGTAATAAATAAAAGATATTACATCGCCATGCAGAGATACAAAATTTCTCTTCGAGTGTTGAAAAATACTTCACTAGTGAGCGCAGCGTACGAGTGAAGTCTTTTTTTAACACAAGGAGAGAAATTTCGTATCTCCAAGTGCCAGTGCAATGTTCTATTCATTATATACACACCAAGGAAATACCAAACAATTTCACTTTTGCTGCGAAAGCCATGATATATTATGTAACCATAGCACTGGTGATCTTTTCGCATAAGAAGATAACATGTTATTTTCACGTGTGAAGATACCATGATTTCACGTGAAAGATCACTTGGTATTTCATTGGTGTTTATAAAATGAACTTAGTTCCTCTTACTGAGTTGTTCTGAGTTAGGAAAACAACAAATTGACAAAATGAGTTCACAGTGATGTAACAAGGTCACAAATGGATAATTCACCTTTTGTATTTCCTCATCAATCTTGCATCTCTTAATACACTGCTCCAGAACCTTTTTCCGTTCTTTCCACTGTTCATCAAGTTGTTGCCGTCGATGATGCAGTGCTTCTAGAATACGCTCAACACTATAACATGCTGCTTTTGTGGCGTGGCTATTGTTTATGTCAGCATGTGCACTGGCCTCGCGTAATTTGTCCAGTAGCGCTTGTCCTTTGGCTAAAGTCTGCATCGATAATTCTAACACACTTTTCCTTAGCTCCTGATGTTGATGAAGTAATGATGATGATGACGTCACATCTTCCGCTAAGAGAACACGACTGACTTCATCTTGCGTTGCATCAATTTTGCCAGAGAACTGTACAGAAACAAATAAAAATCAAAATGATATTTCCAATTCTTATGAAATAAGTCAAGATCAAAGTCATCAAAATAATGGCTAATGACAAAATGACTTGGAATAATCATGCAGGGTTCATAACACTCCTGACCAATTAATTAAATAATTCATAATGAGTACCTTCCACATCTCCCCTTCTGCAATCAGCTTTAAGTTTTGGTTTCTACACTTCCGCAAGATATTTTAGAGTGGATAATACAAATTTTAAAAGGCAATGGGCTGATGCCATCACATATTACTAACTGGTATCTCTAGAGGAGAAGTAGAAGATGGAATTTTGCAGGCAACAGAGCCATAAATAATTATTTAAAGGCTTCTTTGTTTGTAACTCAGTTGACCCATCATCCCATCCCACTACTGGTCTTAAGTATTAGCTAATCCATAAGATACTTGGTGTCACATTTCCCATCACAATAATTGGATATACGCAGATTATCCCTCAATGGGTCAAAGATCATTATCTAACAACATTGCAAACTGACTTGTACAGTTCTGTACTAGTAAACAAAGCTAATCATTTCCATAGTTCAACAATAACAAATAAATGCATAAACTATAACAGAAAGCAGTTTATTTTTACTAAAAAACAACCCACAGTCTAGAACAAAGTGCAGTGATAAACAGCTCCTTAATATGATTATAAAGTACAGTACGTGTGGAACATATGCATAGGAGTGATAATCGATGCAAATCAAGGCCAGCAATGTCCAAAAGATAGAGATGTAATTTAATTAGTGCTATAAAGTGCTACATGATATCAAATTTCACTTCAACACTTTTATAACACATACCTACTGTGCATAGGAAGTAATACCATCATGTAAGAAGTCATGGAAAGTGTTAACAATAATGTAGGTATATACAGTAGAAGAAGTCAATACCATAATCATGTGACATAACTGTACAATATCAAATCCGACATTAACACTTTTATTACCAGGCGTTATTCATGGCCAAGGCCAAAAAAACAAAAAATTGTCAAAGGTCATAAAAACACCGCACATGACCATGTACTCTGTAAGTATTGAAAAACTTTTAAATTAATAAGAGTACAAATAATTTTGATTGACTTTAGAAAGAATCAGGAAGTTATTGCTTTTAATAGCATACAATAGTACATGTAGGTGTCAAAGTTAGACAGTGTTCTGTTAAAGAGACAGATCAAGCATAAAAAATCCAGCAAGTTATGTTATCTGACTCACTTAGGAATAACAGAACACATATGATGATTTGGCAAGCACATTTATTGACCTGATGGAATTTGTTATTGACATCATAACTTATCTCACTAGGACACTTGTTAGACCTTTACTGAGTCCCTTCTTAGTTTGACTATCTGTCAAAAAACTACTGACATTAAAACAGGAACTTTTTTGATATAAGAAAGGAAATGTTTACTGAGCGATTTACAGTATAAAGACAAATCAGTTCCATTTCTGTAACTACATGCAAGTAGGTGATCAGGGATTTCCATTCTTCTTCTTAAAGGAAACTTTGATAGACATTTACTCAAATTAAAGAAAAAAAGGAAAACAACAGTGCAGTTGGAACAAATAATCCACCATGATTTTGTTTATTTTTTGGTCTGACCTTTAAGCCAATTATTTATTAATAAAAAAAGTGTTATATTGCATAGACTTGAAAATAACATCCACCAATACCTGCGGTGAAACACACATTCCATACTAATTGGAGTATTATCCATATTAATCTAAAAAGTATTCATCTACATTTTATCATTCCATCTATATACGCAGTTATTTTCATTCTAATTACAGTGGAATCCCAAATTCTCAAACCCTCAGTTTTTCGAGCCTCCTGATAACTCAAACCAAAAGTTGTTTCCCCTCCTCAGTCAAACGCTGTAATTTTACCCGATTTCTCTAACCATCCGATTTTTCAACCCAATTTTTGTATCCCTTGGAGGTAAGAAAAATCGCGATTCCACTGTATTCCATAATTTAGAATCTTGTTTAGAGGCATTTAACCTTCAATCAACATGATAAAAGGGTATTTTTAGCTACATATTGAGTAATTAAAATTCTTCTAAGGACTGTTCAAGAATAATAGACTAGTATACCTTAACAATATTAACAACATAAAGCAAGTACCTTTACATAATTGATTGCACCACTTAATTCAGAACGCTTAAAGCATCTTCATATGTTTAGCAAACTTCACTGATTATAACACATTCAGCACATTCAAAGTAACAGCTTACACATATGCTACAATGTAAAACATGAATAAAATTTAGGCTTTTTACTTTCATTTGGCACAAGATCAACAGCAATTTGAACCAAAACAAACATCAAAAATATCTCAATAGAAGATACCTTCAAAAGGCAGACTATGAGGGCCACCTGGATCCCATGAAACAAAATTTAACACTTGCAGCTATCATTTACATGTGTGCACTGATTTAACTTTTTGGAAATGAAAAAAAAAATTCTTGTAACTAACTCACTAAAATACTTAACAGCAGATGGAAATACTCATGTGTAAACAATTTAAACATTGTTCTTGGTCTGGTATCATAAAAACAATTTTAACACATAGATTAAGTACTGATCTTGGAAAAAAAATTTCTGCTTCTACACACACTTAATGCATGCCAACAAACAGATTGAACAAATCAGTGAGATTATTATACAACATTTGGGCAAAATGGCATTCATTACTGTAGCTGAGAGAACATCTTGAAGGATACAACTTTTAAAGATATGCCGAGTGCATGGCTTTAGAGAGATTACAAGATTTGTTTTTGGACAATTACTAAATTAGCTTGTTAAAACTATTGAATACTCACAGTCCATACTGTGTGTCAATGTTGTAAAGAGAAGATGCAAAGGGTTTTGCCTTACAAAGAACAGATTAGACCACCAGAACTTGGGTTGAATTTACAAAATACAACAAACTTCTCTTTCCCATAAAAGGTATCTTAAAAAAATAAATCCTACAATAATTGCTATTTACTTTGCATTCCATGGATTTTTCAGGGCAATCTTTTTCTTAAGAGGTCAAGCCTTGTTAGGACCTTTCCTTTTGCATATAATTATCATGATTAAACTCCTATTGCATGACTGACTGAATAAATATATTTCTTGGTACCTCATGGCCTCAAACCTGAAACAGTTATACTGCATTTGGAAAGAATAAACAAGCAATCAAGTACCTTTGATGACAGATTTAGTCCATTAACAGGGATAAGACTTCACATCAAATTTCAAATTGTATTAGACCAATGTCATCTTTAATTTTTCATTTGATACCATTTGTTCCAGACTACTTGTTCAGTAACCATTTAGGTGAACCATTGAATTCAATTTACACCCAAATATAGTACACTGGGTGCCACTTAGTGTCACATTTAAGTCCTACATAACAAGCAAAAAGAAGATGGTGCCAAGATTTGGTGCTTCACGCCCCTACATTTGGCAACCATTGAAATTCATCAATTAGAACATCTTCGGGAATCTTCGGCAATGTTTGGAAGTCATCAGAACATCTTCAGTAATGTTGGGGAGTCGTCAGATTTGTTTCACAAATTTGGTAATGTGGATACAAAAATCACACGNCTCTTTTTTTTTTTTGTTTGTTTGTTTTTTTTCTTTTTTTTCTGCTAAGCCAAGTCAATTTTGTTCAACTCACACCCGAGAGAGTAATGCTATCATGTCACTTTGTCGACCAAACAGGGAAGGACTATCCAACTGAATTCACGTGTTATGGAATGAAATCGCGACAACGTAGTAATACGAGAAACATAAAGCGTGCGCGCCCTGATTGCTAACCAATCAGCGCACACATGCACATCACGTGCTACAAACCTTGAGCCTCGCTTCCAGTTCCTGGAGCTCAGAACTGAGCGCTTCAGCTTCCGCTAGGTTTTGGCCGATCACGTGTTTGTTCTCCTCTGTTTCATCCGTTTTGTCTTTCACCCACTGAAGAAGCTACAAAGTAACAGCAACAAAATAAGAAACTTTACACCAAACCCAGTGAAAACCAGTCACGTGCGGCCAGGCCAGTGCCAAACGTTCCTGTCAAGATAATTAAATTTCTGATATTTTGGGAGAACTCGAAAAAGCTGTGGAAACACTTGCATGGAGGCTCGAGGCCCCAATTCATTTCTCGTTCTCCCAAACTTCCACTCGTGTTTCCATGGCTCGATAGAAACACGGTACATGTTTTCTCTCTTAAATGTTACAATTGTTTTAAAGAGCACCGCTCTCAAGTGAGCGCCATCCATGAAAACGCGCCCCACAGGGATGACCGCAGCACTCAATTAAGTAAATACAGTATTCGTCGAGCAACTCCTTGAATAACAGTAAAACAGTCCAGTCTCTCTATCACGGACACAGCCGAAAAGTGTCTCAACTGACTGTCTGTCTGTCTGTCTGTCTGTCTATCTTAGGAGAGGTGTCCGTCTTACAGGAAGCCGATATAATAACCCAGAATATCCGTTCAGTGAATAAATATCAAATTTAGTTAGTTTGTTGCAAGCTCTGCTCAAAACTGGAACAACACTAATAAAATAAGTGTCGCAGTCGCATTTAATTCTTTGTTATTTTTTCCGTTTGTACGCGCATTCTTTCCGTGATCATCGCATTCTTTTCGTTTATCTCGCTTTCACGTTAGCAATATTCAGTTAGGTTTTTTCGCATAATTTCCTTTTGTTCAGGCGCTTTTGCATGCGTTCTTCTAGTTTATTTGTGCATTTTCATCGCGACACTACAATCATCTTGTTTCATTTACCGCCTTCCGCTTTCCTCTTTCGTGTTCCTAACCGTCCTTGTCANGTCGTAGGACTAATGACGCCTGCAGGAACTGTCTTCCATAGTCATACGTGCTCTGTAACAAATCCAAGTGATTCGATTTTATTATTCGCGTAAAGAAAACACGACACTCTTTTAAGTTTAACAAACATGTTTCGGCAGACGCTTTTGCAATCTTCGTCGTGAGTTGAAAATAGTGTGCGGTAGAATAGTCCAATAACTATGGCAGTAGTTAAGATAATTGCAATAGTCATACAAAATTAAACAGAAAGTTTTTAATTAACATTTTAAAATATGTGCTTTAAGTGTTGGTTTCTGCTAAAGTAGGCGTATGTATGAGCGTTGCGTTGCGTTATGTTATGTTACGCTGTGTTGCGTTGAGTTCCGTTGCGTTCCGTTCATAGCTATGGTACCGATCGGATGTCTTGCAAAGGTTCTTCGTGGCAGAAATACATGTATACGAAATATTCCACAATATCAAGAAAGTAATTCTTACTCTAGCGGTAGCTTCCAGTTTTTCGTGCTCCTGTTGCAAGGCCTCTACATCCTCGGCGTTTCTGCCCACATCTCCCAGGTTGTGTTCTGTAGCGTCACGCAGTTGACTTATCCATGTTGTCGCCTGACAATAGATTGGTTCAAACACAAGTAATCGTTTATTTTCAGTACAGATAATTTCCTGTGACAATAAGAACTCACAAACAGATTCACACTATCAAAATAATCCTTCCTTCCCTTTACGTACGTGAAGGTCTTTGTAAAATATAGTTATCANAAAGAAAAATCAAGTGCCATTGTAAATTTATTAAACTACAATTGTGATCAATTTTAGACTGTTTCACAGGTCTGCATTCGCCATCAAGTGGCGCTTGTTCCCTAACTATGAAGAGAAAACTAAAAATTTAGTTTCTTATAGCTCCTTTTGAAGAAAAAAAATTTAGCAAAATCTTTCAAGTAGTAAGATCAAAACTTCCCCTCACCTCCCCTGCACTTTTGTGGAATTTCAGCGACGTCAGAATGACATCTCTTCTTCTGTTCATGCGCATGGCAAAACTTCGACAACCTCTGTCCAGAAATTCTTTCTGAGTTTTAATGTCTTTGGAAGCATAGTGATTTTCTTGCAGCATTTTTTTGGCCAGTTCACGCACTTGAGCGAAGTGGTTGATAACCTCCTGCAATAAAAGGAACAATATATATCAAGCCTCATGATAAGAGTAAGAATTCTCCTCACAAACAGATAAGGATTACTGTCTGCTAGTTGTGTTTGTTAGTTGCGTTTTTTAGTTGTGTTTGTTAGTTGTGTTTGTTAGTTGTGGTTTTGAGTAGTGTTTTTTAGTTGTGCCACTGGGGACCCGAACACTGTATCAGCAGTAAAAATAAATGTGCTGTGTTTAGTTTGTTTGTTAGTTGTGTTTTTCAGTTGTGTTTTTTAATTGTGTATGTTAGTTGTGTTCGCTAGTTGTGTTTTTTAGTTGTGTTTTATGACGTAAATGACGCGAAAATCGTGCACAATGAGACTGCGCAATGTGATTATGGGGAATCACCTTAACCTCTGCCTTAACTAATTAGAAAAGTAATAATCTAAATAGAAGACAATAGTTATACTTCACAGAGACAACTCTATAGAAACAGATATTCTCTAACCCTTGCAGAGAGCTCGAATTCTTCATGTTCTCTCCTCAAAACCTCACATGTGATGACAGAGTCTCCAATATCATTTGAGGTCGACAAGTAAGATTCTCCTGGTCCAAGGACCCAGTCAATAACCTAGGATTAATACAAAATGAAAAAGTAAAATTGAAAGCATTGAGTTGCAAATTTGATTTGGCTGAATGGGTGCTAACAACTGACCGCCAACAGCATTCTTTTAATGGGTAATTAGACATGAATGAGTAGTAATAGATGAGTACAGTGGAACCCCATTTATCCGGTCACCAACAGATCACAAAAATCTGGCCATATTCACAGGGCGGCTGTATTAAAGGGGTTCTTAAATAAGGAGATGACTGACTAAGATGACCATCACTCAGGGTCCCACGGAAGGAGTCAGGCCACGACAAATGTCACGTTGGTTTCAGACTGTAGTCTGCATTTTACCCCCAACCTGCAGTCTTCATTTTAACCTCAGT